TTTTTTTGTATTTCCTCCCTTTCCTTTTCTATTTGTATTTATTTATCATTGCTTCCAGTGAATTCCGTGTTCTATAACGACAAAACCTCTTATTTTATTGATCTTCAAAATATTAAATTCGGGCATTTCGGAACGAAATCAAGTTTGCTTATCTCAGTTAACTTGATTGAATCCATTATGAATTCAATAAATCTAAGTAAATTAAAGTAAATTGTAGTTTTGTTTTCCACTTATTTTTTTTTATTCTCCCATCTATACTTTTTTGTATCTATTTTATTTGGATTAGATTTGTAGTTCCAATCCAACACAAGCCCTTTTTTTACTATTTTTTATTGTTTTCAATTGAAATTTCTTTTGTTTTTTTTTTCAATATTCAATATTTATATTGACAACAGTGTATCGAACAAATATAATTCATTGTGATAAATGAAGTGGATCTATTTAGTTTTATTTTATGTTTTAAATGAATTAGAAAGTGTAAATGTATTTTTTTAGATTTCTTCTTTCAATGGTTTTTGGTTGTCTTGTCTACTCTAGTTATTTCTTTTTCTTCGGATTGGATCTACATAATTTTTTCGATATTTTCTTCGGGTTGCTAACTCAACGGTAGAGTACTCGGCTTTTAAGTGCGGCTAGTGTCTTTTACACATATGGATGAAGTGAGGGATTCGTCCATACTCTCGGTAAAGTTTGGAAGACCGCGACTGATCCTGAAAGGGAATGAATGGTAAAAATAGCATGTCGTATCAACGGAAAGTTCTGAAAATATTTCATTGTTCCTAGATGGGTATAAAACTGTGTTAGAATTCTTGGAACGGAACAAAATAAAGTTGGGTCGAATGAATAAATGGATAAGGCTGCGGCTTCAATTAAATTATAGGGAAAGAAAAAGCAACGAGCTTTTGTTCTTAATTTGAATGATTCCCGATCTAATTAGACGTTAAAAATTTATTAGTGCCTGATGCGGGAAGGGTTTCTTGTCCCATGAGTGGGTTCTCGATTTTTTTAATGAATCCTAACTATTACCATTTTCGATTATGGAGATGTGTGTAGAAGAAACAGTATATTGATAAAGAAAGTTTTTTCCGAAGTCAAAAGAGCGATTAGGTTGAAAAAATAAAGGATTTCTAAACATCTTATTATCCTATAACACTATAACATAGACCAATTAAATGAAACGAAAAAAAAAAAGAGATGATAGAGAATCCGTTGAGAAGTTTACCTGTATCCAAGGTATCTATTCTTACTACAATACTTTGTTTTAACTGTATCGCACTATGTATCATTTGATAACCCTCAAAATCTTCCATCTTTGGTTCAAATCGAATTTCAAATGGAAGAAATCCACAGATATTTACAGCCAGATAGCTCGCAACAACACAACTTCCTATATCCACTTATCTTTCAGGAGTATATTTATGCACTTGCTCAGGATCATGGTTTAAATAGAAATAGGTCGATTTTGTTGGAAAATTCAGGTTATAACAATAAATTGAGTTTCCTAATTGTGAAACGGTTAATTACTCGAATGTATCAACAGAATCATTTTATTATTTCGACTAATGATTCTAACAAAAATCCGTTTTTGGGGTGCAACAAGAGTTTGTATTCTCAAATGATATCAGAGGGGTTTGCATGTATTG